GTGGCAACCGTTGGTGAGGGACTGGGGTTGGTTATTTCGAGATTCACTGACTGGACGGTCTGTGCGGGTTGACGGGATGCTGGGAGCCTTGGCTGTTCGCTGAGCCGTCTTCTTAGCTTTTTTTTTTGTCATTTTATTTTCTGTGGTTTTTTCTTTTTTTTTTAATTTGTCTTGGTTGTATCCTTGGTTTTGAGACTATGAATAGAATTATTTTGTTGTTAAAAAAAAAACAAAGTTTTCACAAACGAGCCTAAGGCTCTGTTTGGGATGGCTTTTTTACTGCTTTCAAAAGCAACTAAAAAGCAATGGTCAAAATGTCTCAAATGAAGTCTGAGGCTTTATTGGGAACAAGTTTCTCGTTGTTTTTTAAAACAACTTTTTGTAAAAAAATTTCTAATTTAAAAATTTTTTGTAGTAGAAATTATTTTAGAAAATTAAAAAAAGACGTCAAACAAACCATAAATCTAGTCTATCCTTTTTTTTTTTTTTTTTTTTTTTTTTTTTTTTGTGGGAGACCGTTTACATGGAAAATGGGTTAAGAGAAACAAAGAGGGCTCAAATCAGGGAGAGAATATTAGGTATGGAGTGCGGATGGAGAGAACCGTCCGCACAAGCATTTGATACCTAGCGGTACCCGCACTCAGTACCAGTACCTAGTACTTGTACGGACGGTGCGCACTCTGCACCTAATAATTTTTCCAAATCATGAGTCAAATATCATAGTTGTTAACGGAGTCATCATACCTACAGGAGTAAAAAAATGACCTATTAATATTCAAACTGCAGTTAAGCTACACCTTGGAGGTGCCATCACAACTACAAATGAAGAAATATATGTGAAACTCAAGGCAACAAAGTAGTTGTATTGCACTTCAATATGTTTAAAAGACTCCTTCCAAATTATTGTGATATATACATCATTGTCCCGAAAAAGAAGGTGAATACTTTGAAAGTTATGTAAGCTAAAAAGGAAACTCCAACAACTTCCCAAGTAGTGGCAAAGCCTAAAAATTTAGGGGGGGGGGGGGTCAACTTTAACTTTGCTTCAGCTGATTTTTATATTCATATTCAATTAATCATTTTACAGCTATATGTATTATGAAAAATCAATATACTCTATGAAGATATGTTGTGAATTCCATTCGAGTTTTTTTATTTGAAAACCGCTCGTGAAAAGCGCTAGACGCGGGCTTTTCTGAATTTAGGAGGGGGGGCATATTTGTATCCACGTTAGCTAACAGAGAGCTTTGGGCCCTATCAATCATAACCTATTGATTCATATCTCAAGAATTTGACGTCATTGAAGAGCATGCGGGCTTGACCATGATCGTAATTTAAGGGTGCTATTTGATAGCAAAATTACCCAGTTTAGCGGGTTCCGATCATAACTATTTACCTTATTGTGCCATTTAGCAGAAAAACCACCAGTTAAAAGGCATGTGCCATGTTCTTGCTCGCAAGAGACTATTTGATAATGAATCTTAGTAATATTCCCGATTATACATTGATTCATTATGAGCTGAAGTAATTTTAAATTTGTTCACCTCGACAAATTTTTGCGGAGGGTGGATGAATTTTGCTTTAAGTGTTTGGTGGTTAATCTCAATTTTAAATATATTAGGTTTTAGTATTTTTTATTTTTAAATTTTTCATTAGAATTTGAGAATTTGGGAAGCATTTTTTAATGTTTATGGTCCCCTCCAGTTGAGATTTTATGTCAACATAAACATTCAGGGTATTTATGGGCATTTTTATTTTTCTCGATTGAATTTTATCAACTATGTCTGCTTTCCAACAGATGATCGGGTTTGTTGTCGACTTTATATCTTTATTAGTGTATTTTATTTGTTTAGATCTTGAATGTCTAATATGAATGCAAAAAATGAATATTTCGATCGATGTCGCGTTCGTATATTTGTTTAATGGTTCGAACCACATAAATTTATATCCCTTCATGTAGAAGGATCATATTCAAACTTGGATTCATGTTTGACCAGCGCAGCATCTATAGACGTCACGTGTATACATACAACACGCTTGCTGGGGCCCATGCTGGTATATGCCTTTATGTGTATTTTGCATAATGTGTTTGCGTAATAATTGTATGTATGTAGTATAACGGGCACACGTAACAGATTTGTATGTTAACATACTCACATATGCACTTATATATTTACATGTAGGCTTGTATGTTGGCATTTGTATTTACATTTTTATATGATGCTTGATATATGATGTAGTGATTTAACATGCTAGCATGACATACAGTGTATTTGCATAATATGTATGTATGATGTATTTTCCATTTTCATGCTGTTTTGTTATTCTCGCATGATATTTTGCATGTTGCACAGTAACTTAATGCAGTAGTATATGATATGCAAAAAGGATGCATGTTGCATATTGACAAGATGCACCGCGTATTTAATATGCTGGGTGATATGCTCGAATAATGTGTCATGTATGTTGTGATGCATGTATATATAACACAGTGGCATGTAAACGCAATGCACTGTTGTAGCACAATACATCTTGCAATGTTGAATGACATGCTTTAATGATATTTTAAGCCTATTGTAATGCATGTGTATATGCTTTTTAAAATATTTGACATTATTCAATTATATGGGCAACTATCATTTGAATATACGCAACATTTTATTTAAAAGCTTATAGACGCCTTCTGTCTGCTTGTACGAGTGTTGCATATAGGGTGGTGTGGCATTATACCTCATTTATTCCGCATGGCAATGTTGTTTAGTTTATCTTATCTTCAGTAAATTTCTATTTTCCTCGGCATTCAACTTGCGGGAATATACTTCAGCATACAAATGCGCTGCATGGCACATCAGGAGCTTTCCAACTGTTGTTTGCGAGCAAGCTGATTTATCTGGCGTAACAGCATGGTTTTGCATATTTGCAGCCTCAGTTTACCAATGGCTACAGTATTTACTACAAATTCCTTGCTTCTTCTTACATGTGAATTGTTGCATTTGGCTATGGATCATTTGTTGCTTTATGCAAGTTCGTTGTTGTGCAAAAACAAGTTTTGCTAAGCATTACTTATTCTCCAGCACTATGCATTCAATAATTGTCGGCAATTGCATGCAAATAGATTCTGTTTAGCACGGATCTTTAATCATTGCTTATAGACGACTCATAGCACTGCGTTGCAGGTTTTTCTTTGTTTCTTGCAAATAAACAGTCTTGTACTGCAAGCTTTACTGCATTTGTCTGTAGATCGTCAGCGGACATCCAGAAATCGTCAACTTAGCTTGTGGACAGATTGTTGTGTGTATGAAGAATCTCCCATAATTATCTGCGGATAAGTGGCACTGAACGCAAATCTTCTAGTGCTACCCGTAGGTAGGCTACTGTGTGTATGATGGATCATATTCTTTTATTTGCAAATGTTACTATACCTCATTTGTTGCTTCCTACATGACGAGCTTCATGTAGTAGCTTACATATGTTGCACATTCTCCTCCCTCACTTAAAAGGGAAGTTAGTGTATGTAGTTGTAGGTTGATGTTGATCGCCGATGAGCTATATTCATCATCTATTTCCTTATGTATGTTGATGTGTGAGTTGTTATATTCATCCTTATATCTTTCACTGTCGCTCATAAGTACTCACATGTTTCTTATAGTTGCTTTAGGTGAGTTATTATGTGTGTCATAAATTCACACTCATGTCTGTAGGCATGTTATCCTACTTGTTATATATCTCCCACATGCACTAACAGGTAGGTAGTCACAGTCAGCATGTACCACTTATGCCTTACTCACAAGCATATCACTGCATTCATTATAATCTTATGGAATATGCTTGTAAGAAATGTTATTTTTGTATGCGTGCTTGAATTTTTGATTAGCATGACTATTTTCAATATTTATTGTGATATCTCTATGTTATTGATTGTGAGCATGTTGTATGTTTTCCATTTGATTTGTATTTGCAAGCAAATTCTTCTTGAAATCTTCATCCACCACAATTCCTTGCTCTCATGTTTAACTTGGTTATTTTGTAAATCACAGGTTTAGGTTTAAGTACCAGATTTCATTCCCTATAATAGTAGAGTCGATTCTCTATGATTCGTTCAAGTTCAAGTCCCCTAAATTTAGTTCAAATTAAGGAACCCTGTTCGTTAGAAACTTTGGCAGCCTTCCAGTGTCTCCCTCATTTAAGGGAAATTTGGGAGCTAGGCATTCTCTACCATGCTACGAGAGTGCGTAGGATAGGTGTCGAGTGCACCGTGGCCATAGTCTTCAACCGTACCACGTTATGAGAGTGCGTATGGCTCTTCGAGATACCTGCTTGAAAGACGTGCAATTTTTTTCTTACTGGCACTGAAGCACGCACAAGTACTTAATTGTATCATCGTCATATTACAATTGCGCTTAGAGGCCTACTCGTCTCACTGCAAGCAGCGCACCGGGCTCCCTCCCACAACTTTATGAGAGTGAGTAGGGTGGTCCCCCAGCACGCCGAATGCAAGGTTTTGGAATATTATACCTTAGCAGAGGTCGACGACGGTGCCGTCGACGTCAAGGGCAATGACAATGCATGGGAACGAAACTTACAAAAAAAAAATACCCCGCCAATAACATGTCGCCACGTGTTCTTACTCTTTACCGCGCGGCCCGACGACTTGACCCGGAGCGGAACCCGGGAATGCTATGTTCGCGATTTTCTTGGTATTGCTCGGTATTTGCTCGGTATTGCTTTGCAAAAACGAGAAATACCGCTCTGTGAAGATCAATACCATGCAAATACCGAGTTGTACCAGTTTTTCTACAACTCGATACAACTCGGTATTTGCTCTGGATTTGCTCGGTATTGCTAGGGATTTGATCGGTATTGCTAGGTATTTGCTCGGTATTGCTAGAAAAAACTCAGTACAACTCGGTATTAATTTATAGGTATTTACTCGGTATTTCTTGGTATTGGTTATTGCCGAGCAAAATCGATCAATACTAGCAATACCGAGCAATCTTGGGTCCGTTCCGGGTCGGGTTGTCGGGGCGCGCAGTAAATAATGAAAACGCATGGCTCGATTCTACTGGCGGCCGAACGTAGAGTTGCGTACCTTCACCGGACCAAATAAAAGTTCGTTCAAAAGGGCGGTAGGGTCTTATAGTAGAGGAACGTTGATGGATTGAGGTGTTCGAAAGGTTTGGGGCTTGCGTGAAGTTCAGGTGCGTCTGATGGAGCCCGATTGCAAGAGGGAGGCCGGTCGCAAGCTCTGGGCAGAGGGATTTAGGTCGGATAGGCTACGAGGAAGCCAACTTGGTGAGGGGAAGAGACGAATGGTTGGAATTGTGCGTGGAATTAATGAAGAAATGGACGATGCTTTGCTCGTTTTCGTTTCATCAACATGAGCGGAGGCGTGATCGAGGCACTGGATGGGTGACTGTCGTGTGTTCAGAAACGGCACAGTTCATAAAACTGCAACGTATGAGCATTGTAGTGGGCTGCGGATATGAGATTTTAGCCGAATTTGTGTAGCATTTGAGCATAAAATTATTTTTTTTTTATTTTTTTTATTTTTTATTTTTTTGAATTTTCTGTAGAGATCAACATCTACCGTCCCAATCTTGATCGATCCAAGCTTAAATCGATCCGCTATCCTTTGCCAAATCCTATTAACCGCGTTCGTTTTACTCATACAAAGAAGAGAGATATGCTCATAAGAGACCGTTTCCGACCGTTAAAATGACCGCTGTGCCCATCTCCCCTATCGCCGCGCCGGCCCCTTTTTGTTTCTACCTTTCTCTCTTGCTCTTCTTTTCCTTTGTTTTCTTCGCCTCATCTCTTCTAGTTGTCTTTATATTATATTTTCAAGAACTGGCAAGAAGCTCTTCCTTTCCAGCGCTCCCGCTTCGATTGGCAAGGACTTTCTTATGCATTCTCTTCATGGCTTTCCTATTTCAGCATAGATTTTCCTGGCATTAGCCAGATTTGTTCAACGAATTGGCAGCTTTTGGAGAAATCAGCGGTCTTTTCTTCTTCTTCCTAATATTCTTCAGTAAAGTGAAATCTTCCCCATTTTCGACTGAATTATTTTGATTCCGTGACAAAGCTTAGATTTTGCTAATCTGGCTGCGGAATTTCCTCTGAGATAACTGTGGATGCGTCTCAGGAGGAAGGAACCCGATGCCGTTGGAGGGGAGGAGAGGTTACAGAGAGATTTGAGGGTTGAAGCCAATGGGGAATACATGTGTTGGTCCAAGCTTTTCAAAGAATGGACTCTTTCAATCCGTTTCTGTGAGCTTTTGGGGCACTCGAGGTCAAGATGAACTGGTTTCCCAAAGTAAAGATGGAGTCGCAAGCAATGAGAGCGCATCGGCCCAGGTGAATTCTGTCCCTAAATCCCTTCAAAATGAACCACCGGAACCAGTTAAGATCCCAGATGCTAAGCCCAAGCCTCCTATATCTCCAGAAGAAAACGTACAGCCCTCGTCCGATCAACCCCCGAAGAAGGAAACAAAGAAACCCCGGCATGTTAGGAGAGTCTCCAGTGCTGGACTGCAAGCCGGGTCTGTTTTGCGGCATAAAACGGAGAATTTGAAGGACCATTACAGCTTAGGACGCAAGCTTGGCCAAGGCCAGTTTGGAACCACACACCTATGCGTGGAGAGGGCTACTGATAAAAAATATGCCTGCAAATCCATTTTGAAGAGGAAGTTGACTACCGAAGAGGATGTAGAGGATGTGAGGAGGGAAATTCAGATAATGCATCACTTGTCCGGCCAGCCGAACGTAATTTCAATCAAGGGGGCTTATGAAGATGCTGTAGCTGTTCATGTTGTTATGGAATTATGTGCAGGTGGTGAGTTGTTTGATAGGATAATTCAGAAGGGATATTTTACGGAGAGAAAGGCAGCAGAGCTTACAAGAGTGATTGTTGGTGTTGTAGAGGCTTGCCATTCTTTGGGGGTCATGCATCGCGATCTGAAGCCAGAGAATTTTCTTTTTGTTAACCAGTCTGAGGAAGCGGCTCTCAAGACAATTGACTTTGGTTTGTCAATTTTCTTTCATCCTGGTAATTTCTCCCCTGCTTCAATTTGCTGAACTTTGCTATTGTTGAAGTTGGAATAATGCTATCTTGCATGAAATCCTTAAGATAGAGATAAGACTTCAACCAGAGTTTTATTTTGAGGGATAGAATCTTAAGGCAGATTTACTAACTTATGATCATATAATATAGGTATGGTTTATGATTCAGATTCAGGCTTACATTTATATCAAACTGGTTTTTAAGTAAAGCAGATCCATCATCATTTGTAGGGATTTCTAATTATTTGAGGAATAGCTAACTTGTTTTGTACATGCCCCTAACATGCAAAGAATGCAAAATAGAAAAACAAATGGATCAAGCACCACATAAACATGAGAAATTATTCTGTGCGGCTGTGTGCACATAAGTGTGTGTACACTCACATGTCCGGATAATTCTTATTGTCTGAACTCCGCACAGAATAATTTCTCCATATTTACCTAAAATAATAGCCAACATTCATGAGAGAGGAGAGAGAATATGATCCACTATTGAGAAGCCATGAGTATATAAAATAAATGAGGCACAAAAAAATACCATTCTCCAAACCCAAAATGTATCCAATCTTGGCACAAAAGAAACCGCCCTAAATATCTCTAAATACAAAAGAATCATATAAGAGAAATAACAAACAAAGAATATTGAGCTACAACCAAAAACTCTCAACACGAAAGCACAGAATCCCCACTTCTTTTGCATGAGTCCAGCAAATTGCCTTCATAACTTTCTGTGCTGTTAGAATAGAAAAGGTTGCTTTAGTTTATGTTCTGATATAGAATGGAACAGTCATTAACGAAGGTTTTTTGACATGTAAATGGCTATCTACTTAATTGTTGATTGAGACCTTGCTATTCTTCACCTATGATTGATTGGCAGATTTTTCTTCTTCTTTTTTTAAATTTCAGGGGAAATATTCAGTGATGTAGTTGGCAGTCCTTACTATGTAGCACCAGAAGTCTTGAGAAAGAAGTATGGTCCAGAGGCAGATGTGTGGAGTGCTGGGGTGATAATTTATATTCTTCTTAGTGGTGTTCCACCTTTTTGGGCAGGTACGATCTTTTCCTTGGTTTATAATCTTTTTCTAATGCAATTTCATTTAGAAATACTCTCTTTTGAGCTAACTTCCTCACTTTTGATTTGCAAAATATCCAGAAAATGAGGATGGGATCTTTGAAGAGGTTCTGCATGGTGGTCTTGATTTTGATTCTGATCCATGGCCTAGCATCTCTGATAGTGCCAAAGATCTTGTGAGGAGAATGCTAGTTAGAGATCCTAAAAGGAGATTGAAAGCTCATGAAGTTCTATGTGAGTTCACAATATTAGTTCCCTTCTATTTCTGGTTTTTGGTTGGAATTGGGGAAAGAATACAAAAAGTAGTAAACGGAAAATGTATAATAAGATTTCATCTTCTTCAGTCGGCTGCAGATGACTGGGTTGTCATTGAATGGCAACTGAACTCTTATATTGTGAATACAAAGTTGTCTTTTCTCTTTTGGATAGTATGATTTGCATTTATTTGTCCTACCCTTCAAATTTTTTATAGAAACTTAAGATGTTTAATGAGAGTATCTGTGATTTTTTTTTTATCGTCATTAATTTTTTGCAGGCCACCCATGGGTGCAAGTGAATGGCTTGGCGCCTGACAAGCCTCTTGACTCCGCGGTCCTATCTCGATTGAAACAGTTCTCTGCAATGAACAAGCTCAAAAAGATGGCTCTCAGGGTAAGTTCTTAGAGTATTATGAGCTTATAATGGCAAAATTTGTCCAAGATATCAAATATTTGTAATGAGCTAATGAACAAATTTATATATGAAAAAGGCAATATAGTTTGCTTGCGAACCAATAGTAGCAAAACAACTGACTAGGTACAAAATGTTTTTTTTTTTCTCTTCATTGTCCCCCTTTGTCCAAACTCGGAATTTTCTTATATCACATAACTATTTTGCCTAGCTATTTGTGAGAAGGGTAAATAAAACATTTCGTAGCAAAAGTAGGTAAAGATTGTTTGAATTTTAGCAGGAATTGACAAACTTAAATGTTAGCTAGGTTTAATTAAGCCTAAAACTTAAATGAATAGAATGATCATAAATTAGATTTGTAACTAATTAGGTCAATAATAAATCAGGCACAAACCTTCATTAAAGTGAATGAGTATGAGATAAGTCTTCCTCTTCAAGAGGTACTGTTCACCACTGCGCTTTTACTGTTCACAGTAATAAAACCAACAGTTCTCTGCATTTGGACTCTGCATGTAAAAATCTCCTATAATAGAAACTATTACGGTACAACCACTATATGCTCACATCAAAAATTTAATGAAGTTCAGTTACATAACTAAGCAGCTTTTTGTTGTTCTATTTAGGACAAACCTGCATGCATGTTATTGTTATCAACTAAACTTTATTTTGTACTAATTGAACTTTTTAGTTTCAAATGTTAATGAACTTATTTCCTTCAGATAATTGCTGAGAGCCTCTCTGAGGATGAAATTGCTGGCCTCAAAGAAATGTTCAAGATGATAGATACTGACAACAGTGGTTATATAACCTTCGACGAGCTTAAAGCTGGACTGGAAAGAGTGGGTGCAAATATGGAGGACTCAGAAATCTATGCTCTCATGCAAGCCGTAAGTCTTAATTTTAGGGTTTAGAATCACTCAAGTGGTGTTTATCAACTTTTTTAATCCCTCTAATATGTTCTTGTAGGCTGATGTTGATAATAGTGGCACCATTGATTATGGGGAGTTCATAGCTGCTACTCTGCATCTAAATAAGATAGACAGAGAGGACCATCTATTTGCAGCCTTCTCCTATTTTGATAAGGACAGCAGTGGCTACATAACTAGAGATGAGCTACAACAGGCCTGTGAAGAGTTCGGCATTGAGGATATCAGATTGGAGGACATAATACAGGAAGTAGATCAAGACAATGTACACTCTTTAGTTCTCGATAATTTTCATCTTTAACATAGCCAATTTCATTCACTGATCTTTACTTGATCTTTTGTGCAGGATGGACGTATTGATTACAATGAATTTGTGGCAATGATGCAGATGGGTAATACTGGTTTTGGGAAGAGAGGGTTGAAGAATAGCAGGAGTTTTGGTCTTAGGGAGGCCCTGATGCTTTGATCAGATAGGATTCTTTTCTCTCTTTTTTTTTTTTTGGATAGGTTTGAGACTACTGAGTTTGTAAAAATTGGAGAAGAAGAACATAGAAATATAAGCCAGATAACCATTTGCAGCCTGAATCTATACAGTTCTCTCATTAATTGTTATAATTCAGAGAATTGAAAAGATCTGTTGCTGTGTTAAATTCTTCTATTGTTATTATACTGAAAAAATCAAAATCTATCAGAATGTTTTGATTTGTTTTATGTCAGAATAAGTAGCCAAAATAGTTGAATATACAAGATGGATGCTTAAAATTAGAGGAAGTTTAAAGAAAAAATAAAAAATTTTGGTTTTATTTTTTGTTTTTATATAGAAATCTTTTAGCTTTAATCATGCCTTCTACATTTAGTTATTTTACCTTATCATAATCCAAAACAAATCAGAATATCTTAATCCCTCTATTGCATTGTGGAAGCATAGCTTGAAAAGAATTTCTCGTAGCAGATATTGTGATATGCAATCTAAGCTTTCTTGAATCATAATACTACAAAGATTAAGAAAGTAAATCAACCTGATACTAACCCAAATGCAGATTACTCGAATTTCACATAAAGGAAACATTTTCTAAAGAAATTTATAATGAACATATTTTTTTTTTAAAGTTAAAGAGGAAATATCATTACTCAGACACAAAAGATAAAAGAAAAGTAGAAAGATACAATCAAAGTAATAGAAGGACCCAAGAGGTGTTGCTTCAGTGAAGTGTAGGGAGAACTCTGGCCTTTGGACAAAAGGGATGATTGCTCAAAATATAAACACTTAAACAGTCAAGGAATTCTTAGGATTTCACCAACTTGTTACAAAATAGTATGGCTGCTTTTGTAACCAAATTTTTTAGGGTTTAGGAGGGAACACAAAAGTGGGAAGTAATTTTTCTTATATCATAAAAAAAATTTGATACAATGAAATTTATAGATTGATGTAGGAATGAAATATGAAAATATTTTTAGGTATATATATAAATACAAATTATAAAAATAAGACTTGTATTTTCTACTTTGGCATAAATTTTTTGGTTCCTGATTTCCTTCTTTGGTATGAATTTGTGGGATTCTCATTTTCTTTCCTTTCCTGAGTATGTGGATTCATGATTTTCATATTTAGAATTAATTTATAATTTTTAATAGTAAGAAGATATGTTGATATAAATGCCTTCCAACACTCTCTCAAATATAAAAATATGTCACTCATGTATGATTATGTGTGATATATGTTGCAAACTTATTTCAATAATATATATATATACCATAGATATATCCTACTCAATCTATAAATCTTTAAAGAAAATTTTTAACTAGATTAAGGCCTCGTTTGGACAATTTTTTATTATTTTATAAAACAGCTTTCTAGTACAAAATTTTTATTGAGAAATTGTTTTAAGAAGCAATAAGAAAGCTGTCCTAAACAAGCCTAACTCCAACTTTCCTTGTGACATTGCTCAAATTTTGGCTTTTGTAATACCCATTGCTACCACATTTTATTTATTTTTTTCTACTTATCATATAATAATATTTATTCTGAAAAGATAAAATATTCATAGAGGAATCTCTTCTTTGTAGGTGAACCTATCTGGTTAGCATTTATGTAACTTCAAATTTAAGCTTTTAAACATCTTATTATTAGACATGCAACTCATTAGCTTTTGTACCCAACATCCTATAACAATATCTTACCTACTTTCTTTCATACTAAAGTTTCTCTATTATTATATTAATATCAATATTCTATGACTTCAGCCCATTTTCTTATATAGAAATTTGAAATAGCATATAGGTAGGCTTTAACCAGGTTCAAATTTAATTTAAACTTGTTTCAAACATCATAAGCACTAAGGTTTCATTTGGGACAATGATAGACCGGCCAAATTTGATTGGGAAGGAATTATTAAATTTCCTAATCAAGATAAAGTTGTTTAGGATGGTTCTTAATCAAAAGGAATTAATTATGAGATGTTTTCTAATTGAAGAGAGCATATATGAGGACTGATTTAGAGGGGATTAATTAGAAAATATTTTCTAATTGAAGATGACATATTTAGGGGCTGATTTTGAGGGATTAATTAAGAAATATTTTCTAATTAAAGATGGCATATTTATGGGATGATTTGGGGGTTGATTTGGGAGGAAAATAATTAAGGAAATAGGAGGGAATTAGGGGAGGGCTGTTTGGGTAATTGTTGTTTAATTGTTTGCTTTAAATAGGAAGAGAGGATTAGGGTTAGGGGTATGCAAATTATTGTGGTTGTTCTTATTCTTGGAGTTTGGTGTCTTGAGCTCTAGGGATTGGGAGAGATGGCTCCTCCTCTCGAATTAAGGATCAATTGTATCTTGCTATTTTTCTTCCGTTAGTTTAATTTCTGCAATAAAAACTACTGTTTTGCTTGTTTTTCCATTGGATTTGTGGAGTGTTCTTGCTATTTTTGTCTCTATTGTTAGGGTTTACTTGAGATCTTCAAGTAGACAGTTTCTTCATGCTTCTTAAAGCAACTTTCTAGTACAAAAAATTTAATTTGTAGCTTTAAGAAACAGTAAAAAAGTCATCCTGAACGAAGCTTAAATGTTGTGTTCAAAGTTTGTTCATTTTTGAATTTACGATTCTCCTTTTGACTTCTTCCTATTATAATCTAATTGTCAACATTGGACAGGGTAATAATTACATTCAAACTTATGTAACAAAAAAAATGAATATTAACTAGTATTTTAGTACACATTTAAACTTGAGAGATTTAATGTACATACAAATACAACACAGAATATTATGAAAACTATAAAGTTCTTACCTATGATGCACGGACACGGACACGGCGACACGGACACGACACGACACAGACACGAGACACGGTTTTTTTTTAAAATATAGGACACGAGTACGGCGCGGACACGGCAATATATTTTTTTATATAGTGTATATATATTAATGTAATATCATATTAGAAATGACAAACATAATAAATGAATGACATGATAACTTATCTAGCTTATAATATACAATATTTAGTACAAAATATCTAGTACAACCACAAAAATATAAGCAAATAATCACTTACTACAACATCAAGCATTCAAGCTTCAACTATTAGGATTAGCTTTAGAGATTTGTTTTTGGCCTTCAATATCATCATCATTGAATATCACTACTTTCAACTCTGGTTCAACAAGAGAAAGATTTGTAATTGTGCAAAAAGAGAGGAGATAAAAATATCTTCACTGCCAAAGAGAAATGAAAATAAAAATATTCGATGAATGGGTATTAAATGCAGACGTTGATTTGGTGTTATGGATATGAAATAAGAAATTTAGTTTAAATCTCGC